GTACGAACCCTTCGTACGAACAAAAGTAAGAGAAATTTAGGATAAGAATACGAACAAGTTCTTGCATGAGGCCCATTGTTCTGAAGGAACATTCAAGTACTGTTAGATTAACCCACCCAGCTGAAGTTTTGCGATTGTTCTKAAGAAATCTGAAAGTATTCTTTTTTTAGTTTTATTTTTTCACATAATGCAACCATTGTTTCTATTTTCACTAAAGTAATCCTAGAATGTGATTCCACCAGCGCCAATATAAACAGCTGTTGCACAGTTCTTGTGCTCGAATGCCTTGACTTTCTGCTGTCAGTCAYTCACAAACAGTTTGGACTCAACAACCAGTTTGTTTTAAATGAGCAGGATTGACTCATACTGTCAGTCTGATCATTGTAAACACAGAACTGCGTCAAAAACAACCTCAAGGTTTATGCTTGGAATTTTTTTTTAATTTGTTCTCGTGGTCAGCTACAAACATCAGTTAGGATTGAAAAGATCTTTTTTTGTACAGAGAAGCAGATTTTGTTTTAAAGCCCATATTGCTCAGATAAACCAGCTGTAATACGAGAAGTCTAAACAGCTCTCAGTCTGCTTAACACAGACGTGTAAGTGTATTTGTCTGGAAAAATAAACTAAGTTATTATTTCATATTACCAACAATATGTTATTTGAGGCAGGGAGCTTTAAAAGGGCAACTATGAGAACCCCTAATTATTTACCTTTTTTTTTCTGTTTGCCGTTTGCTCGATTTAAAAGCACTGATCCTGGTGGCTTAGATTCAAGTGTATCAGTGTAAAGTGAAAGCTACTAGAGACTTCCAAATGGTCTCAGTAATGGACTCATTGATAGAGGGTAATTACAATAATGTGCCAGTTTTGATGTGATTGAGGGTTGCCGRTGTTAAAATGCCACATGCGGTACTTTTTTAAAATGGTGCAATAAGAGGCAGAAAAGCAGGAAAATAAAAGTTCGGCGAGGCAACGACAGCGAGGAACCTCTTATAAATAAAGATCCTTTAAAAGTATCCGATTGTGGTCTGACTTTTTCGCGTGTGAGGCTTAGAACAGGAAGAGCGTCTGTTGTGTTGTGATGATGGGAGCAGAAGATTAGGAGGGAGAGAGAGAGAAGGCAGAAGGACAGATGATGGAGAGATAGGCTGACAGAAGTGGCTGCCGCAGTGGAAAAAAAAGAGAGCAGAAAGATGTATGGGTCTGGCGAAGGAGTGAGTCATTGAAGGAAGACTGGACGAGATAATGGGGAAAGGAATGAAAGAAGAAAAAAAGGGGTAGATGAAGGACTCACTTAAGATGGTAATGCCAAACGCACTAAAGGGAGGGTGATGGAAAATGGAAGGGTAGGAAATCGCTCATTGGGGACGGTTAATGTGAACTGGAGAGAAATGACAACTTCTTGGGTAACAGGACAGAACAGAGCGACAGTCTGTGTGTACAGGCAGGAATGTGTGAGGAGCGATGTGGGGAGGGGTGGGGGTTGGGAAAAAAAGAGGGAGACGCTGTAATATAGGCAAGCAAAGCTTTAATGGGGCGAAGACTAACGGAAATGGGAAAAAGAAGGGAGCTGAAGGCTGAGAAAACAGACTGCCGTTTGCAGAGCGAACGCAGACATCGCCTATATATATAATTTTTGCAGCGGAAAGACCCGTCTGACTCTTGATAGTGAGGAAAGATAAATGTGAGCGYGTTTCGAACTTTCTGTTTTTGCATGCACGTGCACTGTGCAGAGAGTGTAAGCAGTTCTGTGATAACTTACGAAACAGCAGCATGCTGGCGTTGGAAGAACCCAGACGGTTTGAAGCGAAGCAAGTGTAGTTGCCAAAATGTTTCTCTGTCACGTTGGTAAACAGCAACAGTGAGCGCGTCTTCTCATTTTTGATCCTTAAGGTGTTGTCATTCTCTACCGGCCTGGGCAGGGAGGGGGCAGAAGCAAAGGGAAGAAGTGGAAACATAACATCACACATACAGCTGAAAAACCATAATTTGTTCCTCTGTTTTTCTTTTGACAACCTTGCAGCACAGTCCCCTTCTAATCACCATCTAACCTTGTACTAATATTGGAATTTCACTGCCGATAAATAAAGACATCCTAATGGGGCTTCTAACACTGCTCTCTCTGGCTGGCATTTTTATTTAAGCATCTCAACATTTGGCTGCACCTGCTGCCAAATTACCCAAAGACATCTATATTCTCTGGGAACTATTACTATTTTTTATTGTTAAAAAGCTTTTCATAATTCATTGCTACGGCTCACGGATGTATGTGAAGAAATTTAACAAGTATTTATCATCATAAAAGGATTAATAAAAGCTTCCAGTTAAACCAAACCCTACTATTTCATTTTATACTCAAGCTGTCGGCCAAACTTCACAACTGTTGATCGACGTTGATTGAAATTCCGTTCGCAGCTGAGCTGAAGGTAAAGAGTGAAATTACCGTCTGACACTGAACTGTTTTATTTCTTTAACATTACAATTATTTAGAATTCCTGGAAACTGTGGACGTTCAAGGTTTGTACCCGACAGAGGGGATTTGTCAGAAAATATTCACCAAACTCAATTCTGAAAATATGTCAAATATTCATGAAGCTCTTTTTTTTTAACAAGGATGCAAGTTTAAGTGACATTTAACAAAGTTATTTTGTTTTCAATCTTCTTTAACCAACTGCACTGACAGAAAAAAACAAAGAAATAAGTTTTATACTTTCTGTTGTATGATACTGTACAAACATTCAGGTGAGACATTATCGACATTTTAATTAAAATCTGTAAACATRAAGGTCTAATTTTCATGTTCTAAATCCCAAACTTTAAATTTTGTAATTCCACTTTTCGGTTTATTTCATACATCACTTTTATCAAATTCTCTAAACTGTTAAAGAGAAAATTTTTTATAAGAAAATGTTAAAGTTGCTGCAGTGAGAAACATTTCGTACATAGAGCTGCCTCGATTTCTGCTGCGACATTCGGACGGTAGGGTCAGAATTTGGCGTCAACAACATGAAAGCATGGATCCATCCTGCCTTGTATCAACGGTTCAGGCTGGTGGTGG